ACGCAAAATAAAAAGACGCCAAAACCAAAGGTTTTTTTCTTTTTTTTTTTTTTTTTTTTTTTTTTTTTTTTTTTTTACCAATCTACACTAATACATACTACATATTTTTTTCTTACTAATTTATGTTTTTCTTTAAATTTCTAAATTTCTCACAGAAGCTTATCCGAAACACACTGGAGGAGTTTATTTTTGAGCTATTTTTTATTATCACTGGAAGTGATTTCCATCTTCCAACCCTACGCTGTCACACTACAGCAGCCTCCAATGTGTTGTCAGAACGTGGTTTCCTTTCTGGTGGTGTTTACGCTCTTTGAAGGAGGAACAGGAAGACAGTAGCATGTGTATAGATTTATGAAATGCAGCTGAAATGGAAAAAAAATAAGAAATTTTTATCGCAGCTGATCCTGAAAAAACTTGCAAAAGGAATTGTAAAGTTGGAAAGTGATCTACCAAAGTGAGGCATTGAAGGGAACATTTTTGTTTTGTTTTATTTACCATTTTGGATGCTGGGGATTTTTATTTCTTTTTTTCAGCACCACAGACCAGCAGAGGGATGTTTTTGTCAGTCCTCAGTTTTGAAAATTCAGCACAAAAACGCCACCCCAAAACAGAAAACCCACGATCCTCGCTGGTCTGAATCAGCTGAATCAGGATCAGTTTCTATCTAACCATCTTTCATCTCGTCTTCACTTCTCTCAGTCTCTATTACTCAACTACAGTGGTTGTATTTCCTGTTTCTACCTCTACACTTTGTATCTTCCTTTTCATGTATTAACTTGTACATTGACATCAATGTTGTGACCCTAACTGACTGAATTAAAAACATCTCAAACTGATTACCTTGTTTTTTTTTTGTTTGTTTTTTTAAATATATATATATACATATGTTGCACAAATAAATTTCCCTGCACAGTGCAAACTACTGTATGCATAAACACATCTTTAATTTCCATCTCATTGTCTTTTTATTTGGTCTCATCATTCATGTGTAATATAGAGAAATCCAACCCACTTGTTTTATAATGTTAATTTTTTTCTGTTCTGTAAAGCCTTAGTTCTTCTATTTGATTTTATTTTTGTAGACATGATTTTAATAAAAGGATGCATAAATTATTTTCTGGGGGTTTTTTTGTTTTGTTTTGTTTTAAAAGATGGATGAGTTTGTTAGCTGCACAAAAGGCAAACAGATTTTTGTTTCTGGTTTATGTGTTTTTGTGAGATTAAAACGATGAAACTGGAAAAGAAAATTCCTTGTGTGGACTTTCATTAGTAAAACAAAACAAAGGTTTTGTTGTCAATGGAAATTATTTCTTATGCTGTTAGTGCTAGTGGCTTCTGCAGTTGGCACATAAAATAGAGCTGGGGATGAACTGGGTGATGTGCTCAGCAAAGCAGAAAAGCGTCCATCTTCAACCAACAGTCCAGACAAAACCGGATATGGACCTTCAAAATAAAACCGAAACGACTGCGAAGGACATAAGTGAATAATTTCCCTAAGAAAACCACTGGAACCCTGGATGAGTCTGATTGTGACGTAATTAAGTACCGCATTGACTCAAATAATTTTGAGTCAATGCGGTGATAGAACAGCGGCATCTACCAAGGTATTTGACAGTAATTCAAAAATATTGCCAATTATATTGTCTTGCATTTAATCTTCCGTGGTTTTGCTGAGCGCCATCACAACATTGCGCTGCCACCGCCATGTTTCACCATGGGAATAACGTATTCACGATGTTCAGTGTTAGTTTCTAAGCACTTTTACAGTATTTCACATACCAAAACGTTCTGTCTTGGTCTAATCTGATCAGAGCCCACATGTTTGGTGGGTCCCCTACATGATTTGGGGGAAAACTGCGAACAGGACTTGGTCTGACTTCCTTTGAACGGTTATTGCCTGAATTTGTTGAGTTCACAAATAATATATTGACGCCATGTTTTGTTGGATTACCAGTTGTAACATACTCTCATGCAGAAAGTTTCAAATTTCTATATGAAAAATACGAGCATTGGTTGTAGTTTTCGGTCTACAATTACTAAACTTAGCTGCTGTATCACAAAAAAAACTTCATAAAATGAGTCAGAATGTGAACAACAACGGTACGGACGGAGTGACTAAGAATGAAAGATAAAGTAAATAAAACATTTTTTGTCTCAATGAAACAGTAACGTGCACGACTTGTCATAAATTTCCAAAACGGCTTTTAATTCCCAAACCCCTCACCGGAAGTTGCGCGTGAACCCAGTTTTATCTCGACGCTTCTCAGCCCGGCGTTGTATAGTCCACCCATCCCGACTCAGCGGGACTCCGGGACACAACAGATGCGGCGGAGCCCCGTGATGAGGTGTTGGTAGCAGCCTGTTGAGGAAACGTTTTTGTGGGAGGGACGCGGGGAAGATTTCCCTTGGAAAATAAAAACAACAGATTGTTGCACTGTGAGCTTTGGGGCTGATTTGTAATTTTCACCTTAATGGCCGTTGGAAACCGCGCAGACTGATGAGAAAGGACGTAAAGTGAAAGACAAAAAGGTGGACTTTTTGATGAGGGACGCCGCTGCTAACTGGCTCTTTGTGTCGGAGGCGTCTTTTTTCTTTTTTTTCTTTTGAGCAGTAAGGTGAGACCACCCTGCGGGGTTTATATTTACGTCTTCATTTAGGCTGCTTGGTCGCATAAGTTTGCAATATGAAAACTTGCCACAAGTTTAGAGTTGTCACGCATTTTTATCTTTTTCGATTATTATTATTGCCCCGGTCTACCGGTCGAGGATTGATGAGCTGGCAAACATCTCTGCGGCTGGACTAAAAAATGTTTGCACGCTTTCATGTGGTGCACACTGACGCGCACTTTCCTGCTTTAAGTCCGGCTGCGTGTGTGCGAATTTACGCACCGCGCAGTTTTAACCAGGCAGCTTTTAACTTTGTATTTGTGGAGTTTGTTCTCACGGCGGTCTCATGCGCCTTTCCGGCTTGGGTTTGTTTAGCGAATGACTGCATCCAACCGCATCACTACACGTTGGGTGTGTTTGCTTTGTCTCAAAAAGCACCTCTGCCAGTGCCGTCCCCAAGCCGGGGCGGAGTGGGGTGGGGTTGCCCCCTGGTAGGACACAATGTGTGTGGCACTTTTTCTAAATATACAAACCTTAAAGGAAGAGAAGGCATGTTTGAATAAGTTACATAATGTTTGTGTCATTAGGATTCCAGAGAGAGCTCCTTAAAGGACAAAAGGGGCTAAATAATTCTTTCTGTCAGTCTTTAAACCAGGAAGAAAACTCTTTGAGATTAAAAATCTAATTTATAAGTGTCCTGGACTATGCAGCACCAAAACAAGAAAAAAACAAGACAGTTTCTGTAATATAATATAATATTTTTGTGCCCTTGTTTCTAATGCTGCCCTGGGCATTAGCATTATGGCTGCAAAGCTATACCCTGGCAATAAACAAATAATTGTTTTTACAGTTATTTTATTTTATTTTATTTTTTTGAAAATCTTTCTTCTTTTTAAATCTTTGAGTATTGTTATTATTTCTCTGCTTTTCGTGGCTTTCTTTTAAGGTTTGACTCAACTGTATACACGGGCTTAATAGACAGTCATGGATTTCCTCCAAGTCACTATAGCATAAAATTTTACACATTCCTTCATGAGATAAATCAAACCCCTTCTTTTTGACATTCAGAGAGATAATTTTAAACAACCAACCTCCCACCTTTGTATGTACAGCAACAACATAACAGTGACCACTTTCTGGTAGTCAAATGAATAAAATAAACACTACTTTTATCCACAAATGTTGTTGTAAGCAGAGAACTTTTAATTCGCTTGCATTTCGTCGAGAACGTCAGTACGCAAAAACGACTGGTTTCCGACTGATAATGGGCCAGTCAAATGCTAAATCATCTTCATCATCATCACTGGGTAATTTCTGTGTACATCTGTAAACAGCTATGTTCGATATTTAGCTTCCGCGCTGTCAGTGAAGGGATCACACTGGATATGGAGCTGATCTTGGTATCCAATGGAAATCAATATGTTTTGATTGAATTAGGAGAGGAGAAAGCTTGTTGCACCAATCAATAGGATTGACTCCATTGTGACTCAACGAGAGCCAGAGAGAGAGAGAGAGATGGTTTTGTTTACATTCACTTAGCAAGACGGTTGTGCTAAACTCAAGAAACACTCAGACGCATTTCTCACTCGCTAGCATGTCTTACTATAATGTCCTTGACCTTAAAATACGAGTCTTTTTGTACCAGGCGATAAACATCTAGATTTACTGTAGCTACTAAACACACTTCTTAACAGTCTAATTGAACCAGTACTCCAATATATGAACATTTTCCTGATCTGCAGCAAAGCTCTAAATATAATTTCCGTGTCATTCTTGGGAAACTAGGTTCTTAGGTCAATGGGATTTGTATTTTTAGCTACAAAATAATAGGAGCACTCCGATTTGTGTGACACTGTGTGATAGTGGAGCTATTTTTATCCTTTGTTTTCACCATGAAGGCCTTAATTTATCATTTTTGTCCAATTGCAGCATAAAAAAAACACAAGCAACCATGAGAACCAGTTCCGAAGTTTTCTTTAGCTTTCATGTAAGTTATTGTAAATGTCAGCAAAGGGAGTCTTGCAGGTTTTATTAATATACAACATCCTGCATTTTAAGGCGTCCTTCAAATATCAAATTGCTTTTTTTTAAAAAAAAAAATATCACTTAAAATTTAAAGTCCTCCAGTCGTGCCACCATTCTTCAGATTTTCTCTCCAATAAATTGTTGTAGAGTCTATCATCCTCGATAATTCTTGTTCCTTTCACAGAAGGCAGCTGAGCTTCCTTTTTGTTTTTTTTGTAGACATTTCATCAATCATTCGGATAATTTTATTTTTGTAATTTCTGAACACAAGTCAGAAGTTTCAAGTTTAGAAGTTGCAGTCAGAGCTACAATCGCACAGATAGGGTTGCTAAAGCCACTAATTGGACTGTAAAGTTCATGAGTCATGGACTCTACCATGTAATCTGTTCAATGTCTGGAACATTGCCACTTGATGATGCCAACACCTGAGTTGTTTGGGTCACATGTCTTGAGGTGTGAATGCCTGTAAAACAGACGAGTCCGTAAAGGAACCTATTAGTGCGATTGCTCCTAAATGAACCCGATACTTTCAACCCATGTTCAAATCTGACAGAGCACTCTGCGGGAGAGATAAAATGTCTTTAGGAATTGAGAGAAGTCCATTTGGCTGCTCACCAGACATAGACCTTTTATAAGGAGGTCTAAATCACTCGTTCCATAAGCTTTTTGAAGGTCTTCCAAGTCTTTTCTTGAACTGTAGCTGCTTTTACCCTCATTTTCTGTCCAGTACTTGTACCTGAATGTTTAAGGGGAATTCATTAGATTTTTTAAGCCCTCTGGCCTAACCAGTCTGCTTAATTTGAACTAAGACGAGCCACCTATGAAAACCATTAACCAAAAATAAAACAAGAGGAAAACATGACCAAGCATCACCAAGGGAATCTCAAAAGAGCTATTGGGATCCTGTTTCACTAGTTTAATGATTTTTGTTTGTTTTTTTTTGCTTTGCCTGGTGACATAATCAGAGGTCAGATACCAGAATTATGTCACAAAATGTACTTAAAATGTGATTGAGCGTAGAAAGATTCCTTTTAACAATTCGTACCCAACTTCCTGTCTGTGGAGTTTTTCAAAAGGTGGAAAAATGGGTCCAATCTTTGTCATTTGAAGTGGCTTTTTTTGTTTGATTCTAAGAGCTGATAACAGATACTGCAATATCCCCCCTTAGAAGGAATATTCAGGTGAATTGAGCATATTACAGTCCAATTCACCCGAAATGTTTTCCGCTATGCGCCTCTCTGCTTTGCCGAACGTCCCGCCATAGAATTCCACGTGGGAATCACATGAAATCCCTCAGCGCAAATTGGAGTGTCCGATATAGAAAGCAGAAACAGGAGGTTAGGGCACAAATGAGAAAGCACGAGGACGTTGGTTATTAGATTATAGGTTAGTTTGTAAGGTACCAAGAAGACAACACGAGTCCTGTCCTGACAAAGACAGAAAAAAAAACAGAAACTGGATCAGATTTGGAAGATGAAGTCAAACGCGTCCTTGAACTGGAGTCAGATTCACAGCTTTGGTGAAAGGATTGTCTGTTTTTGTTTTCTGGGGGTGTGTATAGCCGAGGGGGTCGAGGAGGAGACGAAGCACTGAGTTGTTGTTCTGGTCTCCATGACGACACCCCACTACCACCTCCCTCCTTTGTCTTTTCTCACCCCTAGACTCCCATTCATCCCCATTGTAGTAGCTGAGTTGTGTTGCCCTGAGAAACCACAGGGGACTCTTGGGAATGTGGCGCCTGTGTGCGGACGTCAACTCGACATTGCAAAGAGCAAGAAAATATTCAGCATGTTGCATGTTTTTAATCATTTCCTCTTTAGCTTTAATGTAAAACTAGCATGTTGTGGATCTGTGCAAATACTTGGCCTCCTCTTTGATGCTTCCTGAATGCTGGAGACTCGAGGCCTGGTATGGAAGGTGGCGTAGTTGGCCTTTATCAGGCTGAGAACACACTCTGGGCCAATACGCTTATGGATTCTCATGAAAAAGTCTCCCATAAGACGGAAGAATGGGCTCAGCTATGTCCTGCGCTGCCGACAGTACACAGCCTTTCAACAGAGCGCACAGTGCCAACATTTTAACAATGCTGTCTCTCTTCTTTTCATGGCTGCTTGGTATGTGCCCCTTTCGAGACAGTTTTACTTGTCTCACATGACAAATTATCCTCTTCCTTTGCACTCTCTCCTCACTCCTAATCTCTCCTCTGTCCCTCGGCTCACACAGGCAGTACGCTCTACTCGGTTGCAGATCCTGCAACTTTTCTCTCACATTGCCTTCCTCTCTCATCCTTCCTCCTTTTTTCCCCTCAGGCCTCCAAGATAGATTCCCTCAGGAGTAAAGTGGACTTGTTGCGTCTTCCGTTGGTCCTTTCCACAAAGTCCATCAGCAACCGCAAGAGCCAATTGGGCGTGGTGTGGGAGAAAGGCGGCGGCTCGGGGACGGGAGTGGCACGGAAACTCCGCCCACCGCTGGCCTCCGACATGGACAACGAGTCAATGTATTCGGGATATTCCTACAAGTCGTCCCACTCGCGTACCTCCCGCAAAAACAGGTAGGGGATGGTGTTTGTTTCTCGCTGTCTTTAGAGTGAGATCTTTACTGTGTCTTGTAATGTACTTGCTGTTAGCGCGAATACGGGACAATATGGATGAAAACCTGTATGATACTGCTGTGGTGGAGGTTCACCTTCCATTGGGACGTTGATCCAACACACACTCCCAGAGCTGCAATGAAATTAGTCAGATCAAAGAGTATTGGATTAGGATGATCTAACAGACTCCAGACGTGAAACTAATTTAGAATGTGATCCAAAGCTTAAAATTCAATGTTCAAAGACTTTCTTTAGCCAATCTGACTGAGATTTTTGTATTTTGCAAAGAATAAGAGGTAAACAAATTCAGACATTTGGTGGGCAAAGCTGGTATAGANTTTCTCACTCGCTAGCATGTCTTACTATAATGTCCTTGACCTTAAAATACGAGTCTTTTTGTACCAGGCGATAAACATCTAGATTTACTGTAGCTACTAAACACACTTCTTAACAGTCTAATTGAACCAGTACTCCAATATATGAACATTTTCCTGATCTGCAGCAAAGCTCTAAATATAATTTCCGTGTCATTCTTGGGAAACTAGGTTCTTAGGTCAATGGGATTTGTATTTTTAGCTACAAAATAATAGGAGCACTCCGATTTGTGTGACACTGTGTGATAGTGGAGCTATTTTTATCCTTTGTTTTCACCATGAAGGCCTTAATTTATCATTTTTGTCCAATTGCAGCATAAAAAAAACACAAGCAACCATGAGAACCAGTTCCGAAGTTTTCTTTAGCTTTCATGTAAGTTATTGTAAATGTCAGCAAAGGGAGTCTTGCAGGTTTTATTAATATACAACATCCTGCATTTTAAGGCGTCCTTCAAATATCAAATTGCTTTTTTTTAAAAAAAAAAATATCACTTAAAATTTAAAGTCCTCCAGTCGTGCCACCATTCTTCAGATTTTCTCTCCAATAAATTGTTGTAGAGTCTATCATCCTCGATAATTCTTGTTCCTTTCACAGAAGGCAGCTGAGCTTCCTTTTTGTTTTTTTTGTAGACATTTCATCAATCATTCGGATAATTTTATTTTTGTAATTTCTGAACACAAGTCAGAAGTTTCAAGTTTAGAAGTTGCAGTCAGAGCTACAATCGCACAGATAGGGTTGCTAAAGCCACTAATTGGACTGTAAAGTTCATGAGTCATGGACTCTACCATGTAATCTGTTCAATGTCTGGAACATTGCCACTTGATGATGCCAACACCTGAGTTGTTTGGGTCACATGTCTTGAGGTGTGAATGCCTGTAAAACAGACGAGTCCGTAAAGGAACCTATTAGTGCGATTGCTCCTAAATGAACCCGATACTTTCAACCCATGTTCAAATCTGACAGAGCACTCTGCGGGAGAGATAAAATGTCTTTAGGAATTGAGAGAAGTCCATTTGGCTGCTCACCAGACATAGACCTTTTATAAGGAGGTCTAAATCACTCGTTCCATAAGCTTTTTGAAGGTCTTCCAAGTCTTTTCTTGAACTGTAGCTGCTTTTACCCTCATTTTCTGTCCAGTACTTGTACCTGAATGTTTAAGGGGAATTCATTAGATTTTTTAAGCCCTCTGGCCTAACCAGTCTGCTTAATTTGAACTAAGACGAGCCACCTATGAAAACCATTAACCAAAAATAAAACAAGAGGAAAACATGACCAAGCATCACCAAGGGAATCTCAAAAGAGCTATTGGGATCCTGTTTCACTAGTTTAATGATTTTTGTTTGTTTTTTTTTGCTTTGCCTGGTGACATAATCAGAGGTCAGATACCAGAATTATGTCACAAAATGTACTTAAAATGTGATTGAGCGTAGAAAGATTCCTTTTAACAATTCGTACCCAACTTCCTGTCTGTGGAGTTTTTCAAAAGGTGGAAAAATGGGTCCAATCTTTGTCATTTGAAGTGGCTTTTTTTGTTTGATTCTAAGAGCTGATAACAGATACTGCAATATCCCCCCTTAGAAGGAATATTCAGGTGAATTGAGCATATTACAGTCCAATTCACCCGAAATGTTTTCCGCTATGCGCCTCTCTGCTTTGCCGAACGTCCCGCCATAGAATTCCACGTGGGAATCACATGAAATCCCTCAGCGCAAATTGGAGTGTCCGATATAGAAAGCAGAAACAGGAGGTTAGGGCACAAATGAGAAAGCACGAGGACGTTGGTTATTAGATTATAGGTTAGTTTGTAAGGTACCAAGAAGACAACACGAGTCCTGTCCTGACAAAGACAGAAAAAAAAACAGAAACTGGATCAGATTTGGAAGATGAAGTCAAACGCGTCCTTGAACTGGAGTCAGATTCACAGCTTTGGTGAAAGGATTGTCTGTTTTTGTTTTCTGGGGGTGTGTATAGCCGAGGGGGTCGAGGAGGAGACGAAGCACTGAGTTGTTGTTCTGGTCTCCATGACGACACCCCACTACCACCTCCCTCCTTTGTCTTTTCTCACCCCTAGACTCCCATTCATCCCCATTGTAGTAGCTGAGTTGTGTTGCCCTGAGAAACCACAGGGGACTCTTGGGAATGTGGCGCCTGTGTGCGGACGTCAACTCGACATTGCAAAGAGCAAGAAAATATTCAGCATGTTGCATGTTTTTAATCATTTCCTCTTTAGCTTTAATGTAAAACTAGCATGTTGTGGATCTGTGCAAATACTTGGCCTCCTCTTTGATGCTTCCTGAATGCTGGAGACTCGAGGCCTGGTATGGAAGGTGGCGTAGTTGGCCTTTATCAGGCTGAGAACACACTCTGGGCCAATACGCTTATGGATTCTCATGAAAAAGTCTCCCATAAGACGGAAGAATGGGCTCAGCTATGTCCTGCGCTGCCGACAGTACACAGCCTTTCAACAGAGCGCACAGTGCCAACATTTTAACAATGCTGTCTCTCTTCTTTTCATGGCTGCTTGGTATGTGCCCCTTTCGAGACAGTTTTACTTGTCTCACATGACAAATTATCCTCTTCCTTTGCACTCTCTCCTCACTCCTAATCTCTCCTCTGTCCCTCGGCTCACACAGGCAGTACGCTCTACTCGGTTGCAGATCCTGCAACTTTTCTCTCACATTGCCTTCCTCTCTCATCCTTCCTCCTTTTTTCCCCTCAGGCCTCCAAGATAGATTCCCTCAGGAGTAAAGTGGACTTGTTGCGTCTTCCGTTGGTCCTTTCCACAAAGTCCATCAGCAACCGCAAGAGCCAATTGGGCGTGGTGTGGGAGAAAGGCGGCGGCTCGGGGACGGGAGTGGCACGGAAACTCCGCCCACCGCTGGCCTCCGACATGGACAACGAGTCAATGTATTCGGGATATTCCTACAAGTCGTCCCACTCGCGTACCTCCCGCAAAAACAGGTAGGGGATGGTGTTTGTTTCTCGCTGTCTTTAGAGTGAGATCTTTACTGTGTCTTGTAATGTACTTGCTGTTAGCGCGAATACGGGACAATATGGATGAAAACCTGTATGATACTGCTGTGGTGGAGGTTCACCTTCCATTGGGACGTTGATCCAACACACACTCCCAGAGCTGCAATGAAATTAGTCAGATCAAAGAGTATTGGATTAGGATGATCTAACAGACTCCAGACGTGAAACTAATTTAGAATGTGATCCAAAGCTTAAAATTCAATGTTCAAAGACTTTCTTTAGCCAATCTGACTGAGATTTTTGTATTTTGCAAAGAATAAGAGGTAAACAAATTCAGACATTTGGTGGGCAAAGCTGGTATAGATGCATTTTATGTTATTTGACTGTTCTAAATTGATATTTGATGTGAGTTTTGTGCTTATGGATAGATCTCCTGTGTGAATGCCTTGCTCTCACCCGGTGATATCCAGGTCAGACGACTGGGCCCTCTTTCCAAACAGCAGGGTTAGCGAATGGATTGGTGGACTGATTTGGGGTTTTCTACACCAGACCAAGTGGAATATGAAGTCAGGCATTAATACTAGTGCTTGCAATCTCCAGTATTTCCACTAGATGTCCCCAAATAAAACAGAGTTGGATCCACACTTTTGCAGCACTTTTGTTGAGGCTTAACTTGTTGCAAATGGTTTTTTATTTTAAAGTCAAAAGTAATTACCCTTGGGGATGAATAGTCTCTTGTGTCTCGTCCCAGGAAGTTTCTGGATTGACAACTAAATCGCAAATCTTTCAAAATGAACAAGACCAAAACTCCCTTTTTAAACTTTTGTATTTCATATAAGGTAAAGAAGGGAATCAAGGAGTTGAAGTAATGTTCAAAAAGCAACTGAAAATTACCCAATGTTTGAAATAAAAGTATTACAAAAAAGTTTTGAATCCACCTGCCTTATAGCGGCACAGCCTGTTAACTTAAACTCTCTGTCAGTGTTTTAAACTTAAAGTTATCATGGATTTTATTATTTGGGAAGCTCTCGGGTCAGTCATTGTTCTAAATGTGTGTATATTTAAACTGTGATGCTGTGACTCATTGAGGTAAAAGTTTGCAGCTTGAGCTGATCTATAACCTATATGAGTGTTCCTGGCATTTCCTGAATACCAAAATAGATGAACTTTTTTTTTTAGTTGAAATGTAACCTTGATGTTGAACCTTTTATTTTGCTCTGTTGTCTTTCAACAATCATGAATCGCTTCATGATTGTTTTCCGGTCTATTATAAGTTATGTTATCATGACCTACTTTTCTGTACTTTCACAGTCTGACAGTCCTTTTCCTAAAATGTCTTTCTGTGCAATAGTCAAACATGCCTGTGAATAGAAAAAAAAATCTTTTATTCCAAACAATAAAGTTTGTCTTAAAAGAAGAGCTTACATACTGTATATAAAAATACCCAAGTTTTGTATAATGAGGTCAATTGCTGTGAATGAAAGTGCACCGTCATTTCAGATAACTTAATCCCGATTAAATTCTTAAATGAATTAGTGTAACTGCAACCAGCTGATTCTGGGTCAGCAAGTTAATCTTTCTGGGAAACTGGATAAAATAAGCTGTATCACACAACCTCAAATTTGAATAGCATGATTATAATTATAGTGAGATAGAGTGTCTTTCGATCAATGTTAGCCATTAAGTAACATTACAGCATTTACATAGAACAATGTGTATTGTTCTATGTAAATGCTGTAATATGACCCCTCCAAAAGTATCTTAAAGCCACAAACAGTGAGTAATTTCTCCAGAAAATGCTTATTGTCCCTGAACGACTACTTATTCCTGACATTTACACTGATTTCCATTGTTTCTTCAGGGAGAGAAGGGACCGGCATCGCTTGAAGAATCGGGATGGCTCAATCCGTGGAGATAAGTCTGTGATGATCCAGGCCCCGGGCGAGCCGCTGCTGGATCCTGAGTCCACCGTAGCAGACGACCGGGTCAGATTTTCATTGTGCAACTCGTCTGTCTTTAGATGGGATCTATGTGAACACATGATCACCAACACCCACCGTTCTTATGTTCCCACAGGACGACAACTGGGGTGAGACCACCACCGTGGTCACCGGGACTTCTGTGGACAGTATCTCCAATGAAGATCTGACTCGGATCTCTAAGGACTTGGAGGACTCTTTGCCTCTCGACTGTCGCCGTTACATCAGCCCCGTTCTAGGAGCCATTTTGGGGCTCATTTCTGTAATCACTCCCTTGGCTTTCCTCGCCCTTCCACAGCTCCTTTGGCGGGACACATTGGACCCTTGTGGAACGCCATGTGAGGGCCTTTACATCTCTCTGGCTTTCAAACTCCTGATCCTCCTCATCTCCACGTGGGCGTTGTTCCTCCGCCCATCCAGGGCCACTCTGCCACGCTTCTTTGTCTTCCGCTGTCTGCTCCTGGCGCTGGTCTTTCTCTTCGTTGCGTCTTATTGGCTCTTCTACGGCGTCCGGGTCCTGGAGCCCCACGAGACGGACTACAGGGGGATCGTGGGATATGCCGCATCTCTGGTGGATGCACTGCTGTTCATTCAGTATCTGGCTCTGGTTCTGCTGGAGGTCCGACACCTGCGGCCCGCTTTCTGTCTGAAGGTGGTCAGGACCGCTGATGGAGTCAGTCGGTTCTACAACGTGGGGCATCTTAGGTCAGTATAAATGCTTTCAATTAATGGGTCAGTCGGCGATTAAAAGCACAAATTCTTGTCAAATTCCTGAGAAATCACTCAAATTCATTGCTTATCTGACATACCTGTGCATAATAATGATCTAACAGACTGGTTAAGACTTTCTTGGCTGATGATTTGTGAACTGCATCATTCACCCGCCATAATTCTTCATACTGCGTCTAACGTGGTTTGAAAGATGCTGTTACATGAACGCTTGCAGTGACATTTAAATGCACTTTGAAGCAGCAGGGAAATGAAACCTCAAACACCTAAAATAGTTCAGCAGAGCAACTGCAACATGTTTCTGAACTGTTCTGCTTTAGCCACATTAGGGTCAAGAGAAAATACATGAAGAGATCTGGTCCAATCAAAGCACTTACTACAAGGCAGGTGATTTAGCTGATATGCCTTAATATAACATAAAAGTAGATTATTATTTGTGCTTTGAATATAACTGTTTATCCTCTTGGCCCGTTATCATCGCCCCCCAGTCATGACTCATTGTGGCGCACCACTTCCTGACGTTTTGCTGTTGTGTAGCTGCCACGGTGGAACATCCCGACAACAACTTTCCCTTTCTAAAATGCAGCAAATTAGTCATGTCCCCCTTTTTCTGGTGCAATGCAGCATCCAGAGGGCAGGAGTGTGGGTTCTGGACCAGTACTACAGCGACTTCCCAGTCTATAACCCAGCATTGCTTAACCTCCCCAAGTCCATCCTTACCAAGAAGATGTCCTCCTTCAAAGTCTACAACCTGGAAGAAGGTAAATTTTTGTCTCCTTTATATTATAAGAACCCATCGCTGTTCTAAATGTAGAGTTTATTTTATATTTAATGTGATACATACAGTACAAAGATCAGTAGCTTGGTTGAAAAGGCCTTATTGGTGCCTCACCTGTCTGAACTGGCACTTTCCTTATTTCGTGTAATCAAAAGATGAAACGGATGGTCATATCCATCCTTTAGATGGAACAATTTAAAGGCATGTTTCTGCCCACAGAGAACACCAACAACTCCACAGGCCAGTCCAGAGCCATGATAGCAGCCGCCGCTCGGAGAAGAGACAACTCCCATAACGAGTACTACTACGAGGAGGCAGAGGTGGAGAGGAGGCTCCGCAAACGCAGGGCCAGGTAGCAATACAGGGAAAAGCACTGGACATTGCTCCTTAGATACTTGATAGACCTCCCAAAGTAATTCCTCTGGACCAGTCTAGTTCAAGCAGTAGCTTGTATACATCAAGTTGGTGACTTTGGTTGATGTTCTAGTAGAAACATTCCGCCTCTCGTACATCCTGTTTTGTGTTCTTGTAGGCTGGTAGTGGCAGTAGAAGAAGCCTTCACCCACATCAAGCGTCACCAGGATGACGACACGCCCACATCGTCTCCCAAACACCCACGGGAGGTGATGGACCCCAGGGAGGCCGCCCAGGCTATCTTCGCCCCCATGGCCCGGGCCATGCAGAAGTACCTGCGGGCCACCAGGCAGCAGTCCTATCACACCATGGAGAGCATCATCAACCATCTGCAGTTCTGCATCACGCACAACATGACACCTAAGGTTAGGAGGTGTTCCTTCTGAAATGCGATGTTAATGTAGTGCCGTTTAAAGCACAGTCAAGTAACTATATTACCTGCAGCTTATATCAAAAACAGCTTAATAGAAATACCTGTATATTATGCCTTGAAATAGGCCTCTATCCCTTTAAGGGTGTTTAATACCTGATAGTCTCATCAACTTGATTTGATTGAGGGCCAAAATTGCAACATTTGTTAAATGTTGTCATTTTCACACTTCATTGTGTCAAACAATCCAAACCTTCTGATAAAACTGTTCCCCTCCTCACCTGCGGGGGCGCTGTTCCAAGAACCACTGGAGGAAATGACACAAAAGCCTCTGAAGATGATATGTAGAGCAACTAACTTCTTCCCAAAATGGAAACATGGAGTGGCGTCAGATTTTATCAGTTGTTGAATTTCTTTTGTCTTTGGTAAAAGACCACAAGACATTTCTCCCACTACTGTTAGTTATGCTTTTTGTATGGTTGCATTTACCCAGAATGCCCTGTGCTATAGTCTGCACCTGCTCTTAGAGCGGCCTCCATTCCTCTTGGCATGCATTCAAACTGTGCCAGACTTCACTTAAACCGAACCAAAATCTAGGGATCTAAAGTTCCTTGTCAGAGTTCAACTGCGCATTCACACCTCCCCAAACACACCAGACTTTCTAGGCAAACGGACTAAAGTTCGATTAAAACAGACTAAATGGAGCTGGTGTGAATGCACCGTAAGAAGCTCCTTCCCTTTCGGACACTCCCTCTGAAGCACATCATAACCACAATGCTTCTCCATGCCGTCCATTGATGCCCTTTGTAACTGTTCTCAGGAGTGTTTAAGTTCCTATAATTAGCTCAGCAAACATGTGATTTCACCATCCATGAAGGAGTCAAAAGCTTTGTGTGTGGTTGGGTAATGACATGACATCAAATAAAGCTCAAAAAAGTTGATTTTGCATAATACAAATCCTTGTGACCCACTTTTTCTTCCTCTCCTTAAAGGCCTTCTTAGAGCGCTACCTCAGCCCTGGTCCCACCCTCCAGTATCTGGACAACAACAGGGGGCGCCAGTGGACACTAGTGAGCGAGGAGGCGGTGACGGCCTCCTTGCGCCAAGGCCAGGTCTTCTGTCTGAAGCGCCTCGACTTCGCCTTGGTCGTCAAGGTGATGCCCCTCCCTTTCCTGCGCCTAGCCGAGGAGTTTATCGACCCAAAAAGTCACAAGTTTGTCATGAAGCTCCAGTCAGAGACGTCTGTGTAGCAGAACGGATGCAGCTGGACAGAAGGAAAGGGGAAGTTGAAAGATACTTCTTATCGAGGGCATGGTTTTTGTTTTATATACCTTGTAGTATTACAGTGTTATTTTACATGGTTTTTTATTATTATTATTTGTCCAAATACAAAGCCATAAAACATACGGCCATGATAAAGAAAGATGAAGTCGTAGTCCTTTATATTAGTTTAAAGAAAGAAAGATATAGACACTTCTCTATCTGACTGCTGCGGGGGAAGTATCAGTCTAACACTTCGTTCTTCTCTAAACAAATGTCATACACAACAACATGTATTCTTTAGGCTTTGCTCCAGATCCAGCCGTGCTTTTTGCTTTTCTCTTGTTTTTTATTTAACATGACCCTTCGTACCACCACAGCACTCTGCTAAAAAATCTTTTATTTTTACCAGAGTATTAGGCTTTTAGATAAGACTATTTTGCTGAACAAATCTTGGTTTCTATTTCTTCAGTAGTTGTTTTTTTAGTACAACTCAAATTGTAACCTTATAAAGCAGAATCAAGTGAAATGATATTTTAACCTTTCCTGAGTCTTATAACAAAATGATACGATCCGAAACCAAAAACAACTGAATTATTTTTAGACTGCGGTAGAAGGTTCTGCTTCCTTGAAATGGCAGACGAAGATAAAAAAATACTTCGCTTTTACAGGGAAGTGTATCAACTGTCTTTCTCGTGACAGACAAGAGGAACAATTTTGATGTGAAAAATGTATTAATTGCTTTGTTTGGAACGTGGTTTTTGTTCATAGAAAGGTAGTGGCTTCCAGTGAGTAATAACACACTCTGTCATTTTTTTCCCCACATTGTACGCTATGTATACCACGGCTGCATCTACAAGCTCCCATGTGAAACTTTTCTTTTTTTAAGGAATGTTGCAGCTTTACTTGGACATGAGGGTACAAAAATTCTGGACTCCGTCTTTTAAAGGGCTTTGGTTAATGGTACAGATTTGTTTTTGTGTGTGTGGAGTATGCTGCATAAGACAGCAGTCACAAGCCACAAGAATTACCGTGTATAGAAATCAGCTGATGGAACTTAACCTGACAGTGAAGCTGTCTCTGTTTGGAAAATGTGGATTTAGAGTTCACGGTACGCTGAGTAGTTTGTTTATTTACTGGCACATAGGAACTTTTCTCGAATTTTCTACACCGACTGTTGTTACCTGAAGATAATACTTGCAAGTATTCCACACAAATATGTTTTTAAAAAGTACATTTTAGTGATAAGCCAAGTGTGTCATGTCAGAGGAAAGTCCCTTCAAAGACACAAGCTTATGTGCACATGCCTGGTTAACCATCTCTGCCAACCACAATCTCTGTTGGGTTCGCTTGATCATGCCGTGATTTGATGTCTTTTTGTTTAGTGCAACACATATTTTGGAGAGCTAAACCTCTGAGAAATGCCCAAAATGTACTTTGAAGTTGCCTTTTGTTTTTTTACACATTTTGCTAAATGTATGCTAAACAGAGGCATGTTGGCATCCACTCGTGAACTCACCAACTACATTCACTACATTGTTATACGGTACACTTCGTTACGCTTTGTTTGATTTTTCTTTCTGAAGTTAACACGTAGATCTGTGGATCTCTGAAAGGTCATGGACTGACTGATCGTACTGCTGGTTGCAGTATAAGACAATAGTTTATTTCTCTCTGTTTTGTGAACTCAAACACTAAAAGCCTTAACAAACACTTCAACGTACGTTAATGTAGACCTCAAAGAAGAACCTCCTGCTCATGCTGTTTTCTACTCAACTGAACCACTTGGAGAAAATCTCTTTTTACTGGTCACTGCAGCTAATTAGAGAAGACGAAAATCACCAAAAACGAAAGGATAAAATGAATTCTCACCAGAATATCTAGGCAGTTTTTTTTTTTTTATCTTTGCTGTTCCATGACAAACCAATGGAACAGGGAAAATGGCACATCACCCCACCCTGTGAACGCAAGGAGTGCTTTATAAAAAAATTACAGAACTGTTGTCAGCGGTTACTTGTCGCCTGCTTCTCTTGCACGCAAATGCCATCACAGGGTATGTCTGTGAATTATGCAAATGGACTTAAAAAAGAAGAAATGTTTCAGAACTATAATCTCAAAATATCGTTTTAAGTGTGATGTTGAACTGCAAGAGCATTTATTAGGTCTGACTGGATTCCCTAGTGAATTAAACTACATTCTGACTTGGAGATATGCTCTAGGGTTAAAATTGAATCCAAAGACACAAGCAGGGGTATAATTAGTACTGCAGTGGAATAACTTTGAGTTGTTAAAAAAAAAAATTCTTACAAAAATTACGCATTGAAACAAAAATTTACATTTTCATTTTGACTTCCTCTCAAACTAGTTCTTCTCAAGCTATTGAGAAATAATGACAATCTTCCTCTACTAGAAGTTCAGGTATGACGAAAGCAACTGGAGTGGGCTGAGAGAAGAGGAAGTGTGATATTGGTGCTATTGGTTTCATGACAACAGCAGTTTAAACTCAGCATGTCAAGACTTCAGTAATGCTACTTGCTTTCTTGTATTACTGTTGGTATTTGGATAACAAAGCCAAGCTCTCTCAAATTCAAATATGGATTACATGTAAAGTGCTTAAACCTTATAAAAGCCTCTGAAAGGTTTGTTTTAATAAGCTAACTGATCAATAAATAGTTGACTCTGTGTTTTGTAGTCAGGAGTAATAAGCTGTTGGATATTACCGGAGGCCACTGCAGGCCTCTCACACATCTGTCCATACATTTAAATAGTGAAATATGTGTACTTACATTATTCTACATCTTGAAGGTGCATAATGCCGTCTGACTTCAACTTTTTTAGCCTCTTTTACATCTGCTAAAAATGCTAATATCTTCGAAGGACATTGTTATCAGAAACTATTTTTTTGTACTCTTATGCTTCCAGTTGATGCCAACGCTTTATAATAAATGATCACATTTTTAAATGTCACCTGTTTTATTGCTTTTTTTATTATTATTATTGCAAAAAACCCCACCCTCTCAAAAAAAAAACAAAAAAACATGTGATATGTGACGTGATGAGAGTGTGGTTGATGTTCCACACACCGTCTGTGTGGGACAAAACTGAAGTTTAAACTCAACATGTCTGGATGTTTGTATGGCATTTAATGTGTTTGATTAACAAACACTTCCAGTGTGTAACTATATCTTGATCTAGCTGTTGGTGCGTTCTCATGCGTCGTTGCGGAAGTTAAAGCGGGAACTCTACTCTCCTTTAAGTCATCGCTGTCTATTGTCTGGGCGCTGCAGCAATGAGATTTATCGTCCTTTTCCTGTTGTTTCAAGGTAAGTAATTAGAGCGGGGTTAGTGAATGTAGGGTCAGGAGTTGGGTGTGTGTTTGTGTGTGTACTCAGCCGTTGACCTTGCTCAAGTTGCCATCGCAACTCATTCTGTGAACCGTAAACGTTTGAGTCTGGCCTACTTTTTTTTAGCTGGTCAGGGACGGGGAAATTGGCAGAAACGCCTGTACATATATTTCTGTCGAGTGAGGGTGGTCATGTTTTCTGGTTAACATATTTTTGAGCACTAGCCCTTCAGTAGTGGTGCTTGTCTCTGTTAGAAACCGTGTTTGGGTTTGACCTCCACAAGGTGTTGTGTGAAGTTATTCTGCTTCTCTTTTATGTTTTTTCCCCCACTAAGAGCTTCGTTTTATTTCAAAACCAAACCTTTTCATCCACCTTCGGAAAGTAAATAATTGTAATGTTGACATGTAACTCGCGCACCTGACTCGCCTTCTTTTCCGATCATAGAGCTATATAGGTTTATTAGAGCATCCTGCTCAGCGCTTGTCAAAACCCTGCTTTCTGAAACGAGGCCCAGGTTTTTGAGAATATAATATCTGTTTTAAAATGTAAAATATAAAACGACGGTTCAGGACATATTCTAAGACCTACAGAAGTGTCAGGCTTTACTTTAAAATTATGGTTTCTATGCCTGACGAAAGCATTTGGTGTGGGCTAAGTGTGTTTAAGATGTTTTAAAATTAAAACATGTCGTTGGATCGATGGCTAGTTCTCATGATAAGCATGAAAAAGAAAAACAGATATAGGAAATATTGTATACTTTATTCTCTGTGTCGGTTGTTTCTTAATTCTCAAAAGATTATCCGTGAAAAATGTGTGCAATTTGCATGAGATCCAGTCAGTGGCGCAACTGCACATTATTCAGGTGGATGCGAAAACATAAATCGGCGCCCCCCCGCCCCAAGGAAGGAAACATACGCTCGCTCCACCCCCCACCCCCCTCCACCCCACAGGCGAGGATAAGTTAAGTGTGAAACTCGCGCTAGATTTACCTCATTATGTGCGTTAGGTGAAGGAGCGTAAGGCGCGCTGAAGTGTATGGGAAAACATAATCGAAGGGGGCGCCAAAACCAGAGGGGACGCCAAAACCCCTCCAGACGGGGTTTTGGCGCCCCCTCTGGTGCTGCGCCCCTATGCGTTGCATGCGCTGCATAGCCACTTTTTGCGCCACTGGATCCAGTAATAAAGCAGAATGTGTTTCCAGTGTGTATTTCCCTTTTACTTAGAATTGATACCGATGGCCTTCCCTTTTTCTTTAATACAGGAACTTAACATTCCAATTCAAATGATATTTATAACTGCAGACTGCCAAACAAAAGTAATCCCATGAACTTTTTCATATTTTATCAAGTCACAAACTTCAGTGCATTTTATTAGGATTCTAAGTCACAAACTAATACGTAGCAGAGAATTACTCTGAACTGGAAAGGCAGTAACTCATTATTTTGAAAGTTTCTTGTACCCCAAAAATCTGAAAAGTGTGGCATGCATTTGTATTCACTCTGCTGACTCAATACTTTGTAGCCATTTGTTGCATACATGTATGTAAGACAGTTTTCAGGCTCTTTTTAAATTCCACTTCAGAATTGGGCACTACTTTGAGTTAATTACATGCAATTCCAACAAAATTTTAAAAAACGTATAGCACCCTTATACACATAAACAAGCTATTTTTCTAGTATCTGTAATAAGTAATTAATTTAAAGTCTGTGTAATTTGAATTCATACAGACTTTGAATTAAGTCTCTGTGTCTTAGAGTGCGTTCACACTGCAGCCTAAAGTGACCCGATTCCGATTTTTTTTGACGTAATGCGACCTGTATCTGATCTTTTCATCACAGTCTGAACAGCACAGGTCAGATTCTTTTTGAATGCGACCTATATCCAATGTGTATCTGATTCAAATGCGACCTAACAGTGTGAACGGCCCGTCAAAAAAATCCAATTTGACAAAAAATCGGAATTGGGTCCCTTCAGGTTGCAGTGTGAACGCACCCTAAATTTGAAATCCTATAGAATAACAGTGGTAAATGAGATGTTGTTTCAAAAATCCTATTTGTCACGAGCTGTCATCCTTTCCCAGAGATGAAACACACCCATGGAAGAAGCATGTCATGCATATATTTAGCAACTCTTCAACTGTGTCATAGGAGGTTATTTTCAATGACTTTTAGCACCTCCACGTATGATAATTTTATGCTAATGTGTTGAAAGATTAGATATTTCCTTATTTGTACACCCTGACACCAAAGTATAACTTCACAAGTTGCTAAACATTTCTTTTTTTTTTTTTTTTAATTATTTATCACGTAAGAGTTCTTATAAAATTAGGCTACTACTTTATTCTCCTAATATTACAACTTTATTCCCGCATTATTTCGACTTCATTGTTGAAATAGTGCGGGAATATTATTGTGTATTGTATAATATTATTGTATATTTTTTCTCATAATATTATGAGTTTATTCTTGTAATTGGATTTTCTTTTTTCTTAGCCTCACTAAGAAAAAAGCGATGTTAAGAACCTGTGTGAAAAACTTTCTTCGTATTAAAACTTATCAGTTTGCGGTTGCACAAACTCTTGCTGAACCTCAAGTGATGGATTAGAAACATATTGATTCAAGAATCTAAACTTTTTGCTGTCTGATTGTTTTTTATTTAAACCACCAGGTCACAATGTCTTATAATTCTTCTACCAACATGGCAGATAGATGTTTAATGCAAATAATTGAATATTAATAACAATATTGCTGAAAACAGCGTCTTGGCCTGTGGAGTTACGCTGTATTGGCACAACTTAATTCAGGTGCATAGAACCACTTAGATATTCAAATCACTAATCTTAAAAGTGTGTAGGACATGTTGATGATTGAAAGGAGTGCCATGTTGTAAGGGCTGATCTTTGTTCCATGGTCAGTGTCTGTTTTGATTTCAATGGTTAAAAGGTCGCCCTGCGATGAACTGGCAACCTGTCCAGGATGTACGCCTCTCGCTTGAAACATTCGCTGGAGTTAAGGACCAGCACCCCTCCTGACCCCACTAGGGACTAGGATGGATGGATGGATAAAAGGACTGGCAACCTGTCCAGTGTGATTCCGCTGGAGATAGGCACCAGCACCCCTCGCGACTAGGGATAAGAGTGTAAGACAATGGATGGATGGTTAAAAGGTCTGTTTAAATGGTATCTGTTGAAGAAGGGCAATAGAAATAAGGGAGATAGGACCTGATCAGGAAGAAGAAAATTGCCTCACTGTGAGAAACATTTTGGGGCTTGCAAAGCCATCGGAGCTTTTATTAGCTCTGATGTTAAGCTCCGATGGCTAAGATTCTCCCAGTTAATTTCTCTTTGTGTCAGTCATGCAAATGTTCGTTCTGCATAGCTTAACCTTTACATCATCACTGCGCCCAAAACGAAGGTGTTTAAGTGTCGCGATGTTCTTTTACATGAGTGGAGATGAAGTGTGTTGCTTTGGTTTATCATGATAATGACAAGATGAGCAACATAGGCCAATTTGATAAATACTGGAACAACAATATTTCACCCCTCATCAACAGCAATGAGCAGTGGATTCTGGCTGAATGAAAGAACAAGATGGAGTAAGTCCTTCTCTCTCTGCCTGGTCTTACTGGTGGTAGCGGTGGTGTAGGTGGCTGGTGTGGGTGAACTGATCATTTACTGCTCTCTTGTCTGCCTCTCTTTGGTTGCATTGGTGTTTTAAGGAAATAACTGCACCTTTCTTTTTATGAATTTTTTTTTATGCTGGACAAACAATGTCCCTTGACATTGACAGAGAAGTGAGAAAATGTACTCGTATAAAAGAAGTCGCCCACTTGTTTCACTTCCCAAAATTCGACATCTTCAAAGAGCATATACCAATCCGACAAAACTTCTCTAAGTTTTGAAACCCTTAGACCAGTGGTTCTTAACCTTTTTTGAGGTACCGAACCCCCCAGTTTCATATGCGCATTCACTGAACCCTTCTGATAAATACAATGTCGCCTGCGCTGCTGGAAACTGTGTCGCTTCACCAATTGGAATTACAGAAATTATAAAACTAGGCCAACTAAAAAAAAAAATACTGTTTTTTTTTTCCAATATAAATTTTAAAAAAGAGACGCAGAATTTATTTGATATTTTTTGGCACTCTTAAGGAAAAGGTCAGGAAGAGACTTTGTTCAGTCGGCCCCCCACATTTGTTTGCATGCGTTTGCTTGTAATTGACTGTTTTGAAGAACCTTGATCTGCTGACCCATTTTTGTTTTGCTTAGCACCGTTTGACTCTGATCTTGATTGCTTCAACTTAATTTAGAAGCTTGTGTTTTGGAAGCATGGTGCTCTTTTTTTGTTCCTTTTGGTTTTTGAGTTTACTTTAGATTGAGTTGTTTGGCTGTTTTTGTTTCATTACCGATGTTTCACTTAACCCTCTTTAATTTGTACTGTGTTTTTGTCTGTAAAACCACCCTTTTTTTTTGTAATAAATCATTTTAAGTCTCACTTGTTATTCTGGACACTTCTTTATGTTATGGCCCAGGGCCAGGAGCGGTCATAACAATTACACTGATGCCTTTTAATTTTTTCCTCCAGGGCTGCAGGTTAAAGTTCTTGGTCAGTTCAGCTCCACAACCACAGTCATTGGGTACGTAGGTGAAACCATTACCTTGCCAGCCAAAGCCTTCAAATCATGGACTCTGGCTAGAATTGACTGGTCAATATTGCACAACTTCACCTGGATTGCAACATGGGACCAAGAAGGTGTAAATACTGAACGTCGCCCAGAATACAGAGGGAGGCTCTCACTTAACACGACAACAGGTAAAAAGGAAATGGTCTCCTGATAAGATGCAAATAAATGTTGATTTCTGTTTACAATGTTTTCTGTGTTTTTACAGGGGATTTAACGATGCGAGATCTTAGGTTACGTGATGCCATGCATTACAATGTGGACCTCCTCAACAGTTCAAATTACAACCAAGTAAACCGGGTCTATCTAGTAGTGAAAGGTAAGTTGCATTTCCTTAACCCGTTTTTTCTATAATCATTGCATCATTTTAGATCATGTCATTTTGGATGTTAAGTTCAATTGTTTAAAAAAAATCTTTTTTTTTTTTTTTAATTCAATAACAATTGCAGAACGCCTCAAGAAACCGACCATACAGCTCAACCAATATTTCACAAAAAGCGAAAATGGCTGTGTTTTGGTGCTCAACTGTTCTTCTCCTGTTACCGGCGTTGCCTTCTACTGGGAGATCGAGCCTTCGTGTGATCACTGCAGCAACAATTCTTCAAGTGACACTTCAGAGCTTATCGCCTTTTTCTCAACAAAACCAGACTCTGTAAATCTCACCTGCATTGTCAAGCGCGAAACGGACACCGAATCAAACAATTTGATCTCTAAGATTAAAGGTGAGTTTGTTAGTCATCATCAACCGTGGACAGAGAACGTTAGCATTAAGCCAACATTTTCGGTTTAAATGCCTAGTTTGAGATCCACCACTGGAATTATTTTTCAGGCCAATAATATAATCACAAGACCTTATTTAAATCTACCAATGTAGATGACATGAAGTCGCATCACTTTTTGGTTTGGTGTCACTACTACATAGTCCCCGCAATCCAACGCATTCAACATTGTTTAGTTGGAGGGTTGCTGGTTCTGAACCACCACAAGTACTCAATTTCTAAATTAAAATATATTTGTCCGCAAAAACTGCAATGAGAAAAAATTCTTTGTCATTTGCCTGGAAGTCAGCTTCCCTTTCATTTATATGAGAAATTCACTATAAAAAGCCTGAAGGATTAAAAAAAAAAGCCAGAAGAGGTTTGAAATCAGTATGTACAATTGAAACCAGAAGTGTAGATTTGTATAAAAAAAGGTTGACAGCTTTTTGATACTGAATCAAGATTATTATTATTATTATTATTATTATTATTATTATTATTATTAGGACTTTATTTAAATTCAAAGCTTAACACGGGGTTGGACATTTTGAGTACATTTCCACATGCTTCTAAAAATGGCTCGTTTACATGACAACAGCGACCACAGTCTTTCACACCTGCGTTTTAAGAAACCAGCTCCGAGTAGAACTTTTCTGGAACACCTCCTACAGAGGTGTGACGTGTACAGAACAATGGCGGACAGCATGGTGCTGTGTTGTACTTAGCCTGTTGAGTTGAACATAACTTCAGATCAGGAATATATGTGTTAGATGAGCACTTCTTCATGGGAGACGGAGACATGTTATTGTTTAGAATGAGGTGGAAGCTAAGGGTGAAAGGGGCGCATGCGTGTTGTAAGACATCATAAAATCACACCGCCATCTAGTGGCCCGGGATGACAATTACACCTGACTCAAGCGCTGCTTTGTCTTCATGATTAGGGTGTCGGTGACCGTCTGCTGGACATCTGTCCAGTCAGACAACTGCTGTATGATTACGTAGGCCTCTAGCATAACCTTTCTCTATTAAAGATAATTTCTATTCGTTTAAGATTTTTTTTTCAATAAATTGGTTTGCTGTTTTTTCATTAAATCTAAGTGATAATCATCAAAATGAACAGAAGGAAACTTGAAACACATGTATAATCTGATATTCTGGGGGTAATACATCTATGAAGTTTTACTTTTTCAACTTGAATTACTGGCTCGAGGTTTCTGTCTGAAATGGAGACGCTACAGTCTTTTTACAATCTGAATGTTTCAATATGTGTTTTTTTATGTTTTATGTTGTATCAATTGTAGCAATTTGAGATCTCTGTAAATGTAAAGTGTGTGATAAATAACATATTGCTTTAATTACAGTTTAATCAAACGTGTTAAGTTTTTTCAATTAAGCTTTTAGTAGAAACTACTACACTGTTTAGCATGTACTTTTACACATATTTTACACTGTTTTATGATTATCTCTGCTGTTCTTCCAGTACCAATGGTCGAAGTCAAATCCGATTGTGGCTACATGTTCGCTTGTGGATTCATCACTGCATTTCTGATTGGGATGGTGGGGATTTTACTTTACCAGTTTAGAGGTGAGAGGAAAAACATTCCGATTTTTCACTTAATTTGAATGCTTTCTTTGTGACACTCATTGAACATGCAGACAAAACTATTTCAATGGAAGAGAAAAAACAAACTAAACCAAGACATTAAATTTGTTTTCATGTTAAAACCTTCATAGCCCAATGAAGAAGGTCAGATTTAAATTAAGGGATGAAACAGAACTGCAGTGTTACCAAATGTAGAGTGAATGGATACAGAAGAGAAACAAAAAAAATCCAAATCATTTTGGTTTGGTGAGACAGTTTCCTTAAAGTTACAAAGAGAAAAGTATGCATAACAGAGCTCAAGTGTTTTTTTATTTATTTATTTTTTTTAACCTCATACTTTTTTAAGTTGATCTTTTCTGTTTTAGTCTCTAAATTTGTGTATTATGGGAGTTTAAATATGACAACCTACAGAGTCGCTCCTCAAAAAGGGGAAAGATCAGAACATATAAGACAGGAGATAGCTGAGATAGCTAAAATGAGCTTGGCAAAAAATTTTTTACTTCATTTATTGAAATGAAATATTTGAACCTTCATATTTCTGTTTACATTTCCACTAAAAGGTTACTTCTGAAACACATGTATGACACATGAATAGTCATAGTTTACATGAATATTTTTAATAGTAAATACTGTTTAACAGAATTAACTATTTAGTCAGTCACCAGGATTGTGAATCCCTTTAAAAAAAAAAAAAAAAAAAAAAAAACTTTTTCAGATTGACATGACATGCTGCCTGAGACTTTTCTGAACTGAAACTGTTTGGGGGATTTCAATTTGGAGTTAGCATGTTCCTCCTTTGTTTAGGTTTTATTTGTTCTCTTAAACAATGGACCTGAAGAACTGGTCGTCTTGCCCCACCTAGCGTCTGCGTCAAACAAGTGCAAAAATCCTACAGTGGCAAAGTGGTTTTTAATAAAGAGGGTCTAAGTTCAACAAGACATGCTGCAAACTCTGCTTTAAAATCTCTGCTGCTAACCACCCATAAAACAAACAAACAAAAAAAAAAAACCTCTGGTCACTGAGGAGTAAATCCCCACCAGTAATTAATTAATTCCAGATTTGTTTGACTTATTTACAATAAAAAATATTCTCTTTATGGTTTTGGAAAGTCTTTTTGACTTTTTCAATTGAACATGTTTGTTAAATTAATCTGAAGAAAAACATTATGTGGCCATGGAAGAGCAAATCTTTACAAAAACGTTTAAAAATTTCTTGATTGATTTTTACATATTTATGAGAAAAAATTCGGCACTTGTGATTTTTAAAAAAAATGCCAGAAGTCCTCTATAAATGAAGTGGTAAAGTTAGGCAAGGCGTCATAGTTATATCTGGAGACTCTAAATCGGTTCCTGTCTCTTTAAGAAGCTCCTATTCTTTGACACTCCCCCTTCAGCATGTCATCACAGCAGTGCTTCTCTTTAACGTTGTTAAAGGGTTAATAAAGGAGCGAGGTTGTGAAGACTTCCTGAAGGCGGAGTTTCAGACAGAGCAGGAGTTTCTTAAAGAGACTGTGGCCCAATTTTAAAGCATTAATTTACAACTTTTCTTTTTTTTTTTTTTTTGAGTCACATTAGGTGTGTATTTATAGCATTTTATAGCACCTGAAGATAACATAACTACTTTAAAAGAGACACTATATGTCTGTGAAATACATAATACTGTTCATTTAAGTACATTTTATGCCTGTCTATCTGTATTGGACTGAACTGTGAATTGTAATATCTCGTAATTCACTATTTATGTTCAACCAGACTATATCTGTTTCTGTTTCTGGTTTGACCAGCCAGACATTGACACTGTGTTTTGATTTTAGGTAAGATAATCGAAATATTCCAGCAGCATGTAGGACCAGGTAATTTGCACCAGACGGGACCCAAAGTTCAGCCGGAGAGTGTGACTTTCTGAAAATAAAAGTCCTAAATTTGACATGGTTGTTTTAAAAGGAGTAGAGTGCTGTTCGGCTGTTTAAACAAAACAAAACAAAACAAATAAAAGATCTATTTTAATATTTCTTTTTAAATGTTAACTATAGCAAAGAAACAATGGTTGAGATGAACAGTAGTGAAAACCTTTTACCAGAATAACATAATCACTCAAACTGTAACATTCCGTCAGTCCATTCATCTTTGGTCGGATATCTGAGTTTCAGATATTCTAAAATATTCATTTCACATGTCTGGTCTACATTATCATGCCTGATTTCTCATGTTTTTTTTTTATATTGAGCTTTTTTGAATTGAGAAACTGCTGTGTTTTTATGGTCTCAGGGAATAAATTTTATCTACCCTACTTACTGTCACCACTTGATGAAATAAAACATTTATTGCACCCAAATGATGCAGTATGGAGAAGTCACATATTTGCATATTAAGTTAGCACTACCCTGGGCTGGCCCACGGTTGTATGAGCACATATGCAGTATTTGATGTGGGGCTCCACTTCTTCATAATGTCCCGCAGCACTAGCTGTGTTTCAGTTCAGATTTGCTGGAATCTGCCAGAGAGGGCCGAGTTTAATTGGTTGACCATAAAGGTAATCAATGGTTGTTGCTTGTTGGTTGTAGCTCTGATGGATTTGAACATACACAAAAATTTTATTTATCAGATTTTAACTTGAACACAGCAGCAAGACAAGACTTGACTTTCACTCAGGTTATGCGTTCTTCATGACTTCTGCTGCTAATACTTTTCATATTCCTTTTTCTATTACATTTCTATTGTAACATTTTTCAATGTCTCTAGATCCATCAAGATTCCTCTTATTGTCGCATTTTTATATGAGAATAGAGAGAGAGAAAGAGAGAGAGAGAGATGCTGATTTGGCCTGGCCAAAGTTCCATTGGATAATTCCAATGGAAAGTGCGACTGATGTCCTATATTCTGTTTATGGCAGAGTCCAGTCCACTGTGAAATTTTTGACAATTTCACAAAGATTGACTGAAAAATCTCTCCATATCATCCATTCATCATCAGATCTTAAGAAAAAAAAAATCATGATCTAGAACTTGAATTAGTTTTTTTTTTTTTTTTGTACATTGATTAATGCTGTTATTGAGAGATGTACCTGTAAATTGCCTTATAAATGCAATTTTTATTAATTTATTTTTTATATGAAGTATACATTTAAAGGCTAAAATATGCAAGCCTTTAAATGTATAAAATGAATATGGCGTTTATTTTCAAAATATTTTTTTATTCTATGCTAACATCTGGCTTTTGTGACTTTATGTAAAACCCATAATGATACTTACATGTGTGACTGAATTTCAAAGATTCCATGGGTTTTTTGTTTGTTCCAAGTTATTGTGTGTCCATGTCTGTCCTGTTGTTTCCAGGTGAATGTCAAACAGTATTTTACATTTGTTAAATAAATGCTTTTTATAACTCTGTCTGCTTCTTTTTGACGTTAAAACACAAATAAATATTTAAAAGAAAGTAGTCTTCTTAAAAATCTAGTTTTATTTATTCCAACCACCCAAATTGGAAAGAAAAACGACTTTAACTTTTACTCTGTAACTTGACAGGTTTATGCTTTGATTGATGAAAATATGCCAATGATTAGCATCGACTTAATATTTTATTTATATCATACCAAACTTGGACAATTGAAACCAGAAATTCAGACACACCAAATAAAACAGCAAACTTTATTTTTCCCCTCACGTCTGTAATTAAATCAGACCAAACTTCTTTTTCTTTCCTTTCTCCTTTTTTTGGCCAAATTCCACTATATGACAGAGAATATGTCAGATTTATTCATGTCTTCAAAGTCGGATATTTAAATACTGAATGATTACTGTCTCTTTAAGGGAACTCCCAGATGGTGAAGTCATGGAAACGTTGGAAACCTCTGATTGGTTAGCTGACATGTTTGCGTTAACTGTAGGCAGACCATGAACTCTCTGTGTTCTGGTTTGACAAAATAGAAAAGTCAAAGGAAATCAGACAAAATGTAATTTTTTACTATGATACAGATGGTTTAAAAAATAAATTAAAAAAACATAAAAAGCAGACATACAGCCGAATGACAGGCAACACAAGTGAACTTCAACAAGACAAACATTTGTATAATATACATTTTTATTTATATCATCTATATATTTACAAGATGTACAAACATATAACATAAGTTACAGAGCCCAGTTGCACCTTTAAAAACATAGTTATACACATTCCAGCATAAAATTAGGAAAAAACATGGACAATTTTTAAATGAACAATAATCCATTTTGCAGATCGTTGTCCCTAAATTAGGTTTTATAAAATCTAAATTTTTCTTATTAATTTGTATATCATCCACCGACATGTGATCTGTGTATTATTTTAGAATTTGACTAATTATCTTAACCTTTCTCTCTTTTTGTTGCTCCAAAGATTGAGAAAATGGGCACTTTTTGCTTTATTTGTTAAAACTTCACACACATGAATACAAAATTCCCACAAGTCTGAACTGGAAGTGATCCACGCCACTGAACAGCCATCTTGGTAGAAGGTGCAAAACTTAGATGAACTACGGCTTCCAGACCAACAAAATGAAGGTACTAAAAAATTGAAATAGAGTAGTAGTTTTAATGTACTTTTATTGTTTATAAATTAGATAGAAATGAGGCAAGAGCTCGTTCTAAGCTTGTGGGTTGTTTATTGTCATAGCAACTACCATTACAGTTAGTATGATCCCTACCAAGATGGCTGACAGCTGCAAAGATCCCCAAAGTGTTTTGTCACATGAGAACTACATACCAATTCGATGAGTAACCAAGAATACTATATGGTCACTCTGGAGGAGCTACCGAGATTCACAGGTTGAAGAGTCTGAATCCAAATTCATGTCATCCTTTTCAGAACATGAATAATTTTCCTCCAACTTCCAAATTATACACTGCTGTGTGCCGTTTATCACACAAATCTCAATCGTAATGTGATAAAATGTGAAACAGATCAAGGGGTATGGATACATTTCCAATGACTGTTTGTCTTTATCAACTAAGAGACATGTTAATGCCAGGTCTGAAGAGGGTCTGACATTACATGTTGCATATTGTAAATGCCAAAGCGCTCATTGACATGAACAGGTATAACGTGTAACTTGGACAGCACGCGTTGCAGCAAGATTTGCCACTATCTTAAAGTTGCTGAAAACGTCGCAAAATTACTCTCGGCTCTAATGGTTCCTCCATTACCATTAAACGCCACCAGGTGTTTTCTGACTTTTTTTCTGAGGTGCACCAGAATGTAAAGGTTCAAACAGTCTAGGAAACCTCCTGGTATGGAGACACTGAAGCCTTCCTCATCCGTTCAATCTGGATCTTGTCGTAGATCGTCTGAGGCTAAATGATTGGGAGAAAAGAAAAAATACATTTTAGGGTTTCTCAGTGGTGGCTTAAGATAATTTTTCCTGCAGCTTCCAATGGTTAAACAATTCACTGAAAGTGCTATGAAGGATCATTTGTTCTTACAGTTCTCAATACACTGAAGCACAGAGAACAATTCAGAACTAAGACATCTACAGCAGACACCAGTTAAGTGGATAGTGAATATGTGGTGTTCTGCTGTTTATTTAAACTTTAAAGCATATATAGAACAAGATGGCTGACAAACACATCACAATTTAAGCATTTCATATCAATCAATCAATATTGGTAATTATTGATTAGATTTTTTGTTTTATATATCTGAAATACATCCAAACTGGTGACATGATCTTCACTGCTTTATCCACAATTTCCTCTTGAACTTTTGACTCCATCTTTGCAAATGTATTATTATTATTAATATTAATATTATTATTATTATTATTATTATTAGATAATACTAAAAAAAACATAGAGATGTTATACAGCGGTGCTAAATGCTCACATTTGTGTGTGTGTTTTTTAAGTACTATTTTAATTATTGGCATCATTTGACGGTTCACCTGTGGGGGGCGCCGTACAGCTATCCTAAGTTTTAACAGGCTGGTGACGCACCAGAAGCGTGTGTGGAGCTGCTGCAGCAGCTCCGTTTTGTTTAAGAAAAAAAAAATAGAAAAGGAAAGAAAGAAAGAAAAGAAGCGCTCGAAGGCTTCTAAAAATATAAAAGGGAGTCTTCACCTTGGGACGGACCAGCCCGCAGGCGAGTGTCGGGGTTTTGGCCGGGCTGAAGTTTCTGTTTGATATTTTGGAAAGAGGTGACTGGACGCTAAAGGACTGTTGGACCGGGGAGTTCACACGTCTCCTATTACTAACCACCGATACAGTCATATTTGGTGTATTTTTAGGAAAAGTCAGGGGGAAAAAACTATATCTAAAGAAAAATAATAATATTACGATGGGAAAAGGGCTGCACAGTGGCGCATTTGGCAGCAAGAAAGTTAGATTCCCGGCCTGGGGTCTTTCTGCATGGAGTTTGCATGTTCTCCCTGTGCATGGTGGGTTCTTTCCGGGTACTCCGGCTTCCTCCCAGTCCAAAAACATGACTGTCAGGTAAATTGGTCTCTCCGAATTCTCCCTACGTGTGAGTGTGTGTGTGCATGGTTGTTTGTCCTGCCTGTCTCTGTGTTGCCCTGAGACAGACTGGCAACCTGTCCAGGGTGACCCCGCCTCTCGCTCGAAACGTTAGCTGGAGATAGGCACCAGCACCTCCCGACCCCACTAAGGGACAAGGGTGTAAAGAAAATGGATGGATGGATGGGGAAAAAAAGCTACTAAACTGAGGGTCTGACGGACGAAGGACTCTGCGGGCTGGCCCTTCTCAACGGAACGTTAGCTCGTTGAGGAACTCTGAAGCAACATTGAAGGTAGGCCCCACCTCATGTGTGTTCCGCCAGGTGCCTGTTTTGTGTATTGCTTTTTCTCTTTTTACGGGAGTAGAGCCTATTGTTGCGGGTAACCAGCCAAAGAATTTACATTTGTGATTAAGAAAAAAAAACAAAAAAAACAAACAATGTAAACCCACTGAAACCCACAGACATTCCCCCCCCCCCCTTGTGCTGCTTTCAACGGGGTATATGCCACGAGAGGTGGTGACGTATTTCCATTTGAATTTATTCCACATAGGTTGGTTCCAGGTCCTGCTTGCTCCTATTGTTCTTGGCCGAAGCTGCAAGATCTGTACCATGAAAAAGACGCAAAACTTAAAATATCTGTGAGCTGCTGGTACAACGACTGAGTTTTGTGGTGTGCCGTTGTTTCCAGTAATTAGTCGGTACCATCCAGTGCTTAGTTTTTTCATTTTCCAGCTGATATCAAGGCGACAGCGGACTGTAGCCAAAACTTAGCCACTACAGCTAACACGCGGTTTGTAGCTGCCTGCTATTTCAAAGCTTGAGGATATTGAAGATCCAGCGTCAGAAATGGGAAGATGGGGGATATAAAGGGAGTTGTACGTGGTTCGTTTAGTGGAATAATTTGTTGGAGGAAAANAATAGTCCATTTTTGACTTCTATCGCTGAGATAAAGCGTTTTTGGCTTCTGGCTTGCTGATCACTTGAAACTTAAGCATTAGACCTAATTCCAGTTTAATACAGCCAGATCTACTGCTGCTCAGCATTTCGGAGCTGTCCAACATCTAAGAAGGCTGAATATTGAACGTAGTGCTGGAAATTTACAAATAGTCCATTTTTGACTTCTTTCGCTGAGATAAAGCGTTTTTGGCTTCTGGCTTGCTGATCACTTGAAACTTAAGCATTAGACCTAATTCCAGTTTTATGTCCAACATCTAATAGGGCTGAAAATTGAATGTTTAGCTTCAAATTCACAGATAGTCCATCTTCCTATTTCACTGAGACAAAGCTTTTTTTTGCTTCTTACCTCCTGATCTCTTGAAACATGAGATGTAGCCGTGAATCCAGTTTCAAAGAGCCATATCTACTGCCTTTCAGCATTTTTGATATGTCCCAAATCTAATAAAGCTGAAAATTGAATGTAGAGCTGGTAATTCAGAGATTGTCCATTTTTGACTTCTTTCGACGAGATAAAGTGTTTTTGTCTTCTTGCATGCTGATCTTTTGAAACATAAGATTTAGCCCTGATTCCAGTTTGAAACAGCCAGATCGTCTGCTTTTCAGCATTTCTGAGATGTCAAATCTCTTGAAAGTCAAAAACTGTTTATTACTCGAACTGTCCGTGGATAAGAATGTTTGGACACGAGTTGGGTGCCGTTTGGGTGCCATTTGGATGCCGACGAGCGACTCAGACAGAGCTTGTGTGTTTGGAACGGACCGTCAGCTGGTTGGCCTCCACTCACCTACAGCTCGGGGTGACGTCGGACAGGATCAAAGTTCGTGAGGATCCCGTGGATATTCTCATTGCTGGATTTGAAATGCATGCATCAACTAGGTATCGAGGAGTACAATAAATTTCTGCGCACCCTAATCAATCACAATGCGTCTGTCAAATTAAAGTTATCCACCAGCCGCATTGGATTTCTTGCACTCCACAACATTTAAAGGTTCAAATTTCAGCACTACATGTTAACTGGACTTATTTCAAATCTACTGATACACATACCTTGTTGTTTAAGCTTCCATGCAATGCACACATTTGCTGGATTAGTCAAATCACAATTATTGCGGTTTAAAACAATTTGCACAGAAGAACCATATTTTTATGAAGCGGTTGCGGCTTTGTCTAGCAAGGGGTACCAGAGGTCCTTCTTAAAGAGATGCTTGAAGTCCTTTTCGGAATCCAAACCAGGAGACAAGGCCGTGGCATTTCTTTTTATCAGCACTTAGTCCCCTGCAAACACAAATTTGGGAAAGGGTTTGAGAAAGAACTTATTTAGGTTCCGGTCTGCTAGTGGAAGGCTGATGAACAGGAAAATCATAGCTGCTTGCAGGAGGAACAGAAACATAAAGGATCATCTGTCCAGAGGAATCCAGACCTTTAGCCTAGCCTGGTCAGGGTAAACTCACAGTGTCAACAACGGACCTATTTACCTATACAAGTACATATGCACTCCGTCTTCCCCCGCCCTGTTCTTTTGGTCAATTTCTTTGTGACAGAAAAGTTTCTAAGTTTTGAAAAAGTCAGACTTGTTTTTGTCAGTTTTTTATGCAAGATTTATAAGGTAGGGGGGAAAAAATCATCTACCCTCTTTAGACACATCCAAAAGAGGGTAGAGGGCTGCTCAAACATTCTGACAAAGCTTGGGCTAATTTGCAAAGGTACATAGTTAGATTTTGGTCTTTCGATAAAAACATTGGCTGAGAAATTTACAAAAGGCTTTCAACTGTAGTTGAAGAGAATTTAATATCAGGGGAAATGTAAACAATGTGGAAAGACATATATCGTTTTCCTTCCAATATGTTTATGTATCACATGGAACCTTATTAATATATATTAAATTTGGTGACAAACTGACAAAATGAAAAAAATAAACTTTTGGGGGTATGAATATTTTTGCAAATTGCTGCATCACATCCCGAATACCAGCTGTGAATTTGCTCATAAATTAGTATTTTTTTATGATTCTTCTGAAAATGCTTGGATTGAAACTTAAAAATCAAAAAATAAAAACTGAGATCAAAATCTTTTTGATCTCAGATTTATGAGATATTTAAATATTATCAGTGTACAGTAAAAAAAAGTAATATTTTGCTCTTGTAATTTTCCAGAGGATTGTATGTAGTCTAAAGTCAACAGATAAAAATGACCAAGCACAATGATCCATCACTTAAAGTCATCCATCCATCCATCCATCCATCCATCCATCCATCCATCCATCCATCCATCCATCCATCCATCCATCCATCCATCCATCCATCTTCTTCCACTTATCTGGAGTCGGGTTGCGGGGTAGTAGCCTAGACTTCCTTTTCCCCAGCCACTTGCTCCAGCTCTTCCGGGGTAATCCCAAAGCACTGCAAGGCCAGCCAACAAAAATAGTTCCTCCATGTGGGACATGACCGGAACACCTCACCAGGGAAGCATCCAGGAGGCATCCTAATCAGATGCACGATCCACCTCACTGGCTCCTCTCAACATGAAGGAGCAGCAGGTCTACTCTGACTTCCTGGATGACTGAACTTCTCACCCAATCTCCCTATGGAGAAAACTAATTTTGGCCACTTGTATCCATAAGCTCATGACCATAGATGAAGAAAGCCATTGTGGAAAATTACAGAGTAAACATGACTATCTGCATGGAGCTCTGTGTTATTACTGTTCTGTCTGCTGACTGAGATTGAAAATTGAATAAATTAAATTTATGAGACATCCTTTTTTCCTGTTTGTGTTGCCAGAGCTCATCAGAAATCTATTCATTCATTTCCCATTATTTGCATTTTGTTCATGTTTTGAGGTCACTTCTAAAAATATATTCTCGTCAGCTGTTTACAGAGGGCCGCCAC